AGAAAAATGACCCATTTACATTTGTATGAAAATCTATAAAATGTAGAGTTGTTTGGAGACTTGTTCGAAAAATTGGAAATCATTTCCATTTTTGTGCTTAAGAGGTGTAGAAAAAATATGATAAAATTGTAACAGGCCGATGTCTTAACATTATAGATATTAAAGATTTTTTTATTTATGTAAAATAGGTCTTTTTTTATCTATGGCAACAGTTTTTTCTTCAGGAACTGTTTCTTGTTGGTTTATTAGAACTGGAGAGTTTAGAGATTTTTTGAATTAATAGAGAAAAGGTTACACTTTTGGCAACAGTATATTCTTCATGCACAATTTTTTCTGCACATAATTTTGTAAAGTGGACAGTTAAAAAAAACTTGAAAATGCAACTGATCTAAGTAGTAGCTCTCATGAAAAACAAATTTTCTTTTTCTGAAAATAAAATAAAACGCTTGTATATTTATTTCTTCAAGAAAATTTACAACAACGGCAAAGTACTTTTTCAAATGGCAGCAATAATGAAAATTTTTGTTTTAGATTTTTGTTGAGGGCTGGATACCAAGCTTTAACACGAACTGATTTTAAGGTCTAAAAAAGGGTTCACAGCTTGAGTGTGTCTTGCATGGATGATCTTTTTCATAATTAGGACACGAATCAATTGAAACTTATTTTGAATAAGGCATATAAGGCGTGAACTCTGGGAAAACTGTCACTAAATATACATATTTTTCTTAATAATTAGCTTCTTAGCCATCCTGAAGCTCCGATTTGGCTAAGAATTTAGTCTGGAGGACGCTGTATTTTTCTTGCAAGTGAACTTCGTTTCTCAAAATATGACGTTCTTCAACCAAATTCCGAGGTAGGGCGTTTTTGAAAATTTTTCTAAGAAAGTGCGTTTTCGAACCGGCAGCCGAGATAGGTCGACCTTCCACTCAGCCATCGTTATACATACTTTACGACTTTATTACCCTAAATTTTCTCATCTTAGTATCTGGCAAAAATATTGTTTATTATTAAATTTATGTAGACAGTGAAAATCAGGCTGTGATAAAAAACAAATTTCAAAAGTCATTTTTAACAAAGACTATTTTACGCATATTATGCCTTGACTTTGAAAGTTTGTATCATCTTTAAGAAGCTCACCACATCATATTTAGGAAAAGCTAAATTTCGCAAAATCCTCAAAATCCACTCACAAGCATTCTCGTAATTCTACTGACTCAGCTTCTTAGTCCAGTTAAAAGCCACTTGCGTGTAAGTGAAAGCATACATGGCATAACATTTTTGCCCACCACAACTAAATTCCCACAAGATGAGAAAAAATTCGTCCTCTCTAATATTTTTTTCTTGCTTTCCTCTTGACTTTTCGCACTCAACTTTTCTCACTTTCTTTTGAGGTTTAGACGCTGTGGTTTTTTTTTTATAAAAACAAACTTTAAGTACACTTGATAGCGAAAGAGTAAAAAACAAGAATGAACGAAAATTCGAAAAAAAAGAAAATCTGCTAAAAAAATGAAGCTACGCACAACAGTGGTGGCTGGCGCCTTTTTCCTCGCCACCAGCTTAGCCTTGGCGTTTCTAAATCCCCACACATATACATACATATGTACACACATGCACGCAAGAGTTTTCTAATAAAAGCGGCAAAAGTGAGAACATTGCATTGACGCGTTCTGACAGCTGGTGTTAAATGTCACTGCTCAGCACTTTCTAAAAGCTATTCAACTATGAAGATGTACAAAAAACCGTGTATATTGATGTTAATGTTTGGTTGTGTGTGCAGGCATGTGTAGAAATGCGTCGTCTGGAGTACAATGCGCTTGAGTTTGGAAATGTTTACGCTTTTAAGTATTTCAGTTAAAGGAAATTTCGTGCATGTGCATTCGAAATTTTTATACCTTTCATGAATATGAAATGGTATTATAAATATGTTCCGATAATTGGTAAGTACGAAAAGAGGGAAAAATGAATGAAAATATCTGCTCAGGCGGCTCTTCGATGTTTTGAGAAAAACTGAAGTCTTCATTTTTCACTCAATTTGATAACTTTTTTTTTAATGAAAGCTAATAAAATTTGCGAGCGATCAGTTAAGCCCGATTTTTGAATTCTTGTTTGTTTGTATTGAATTTATTTAGAAAAGTTGAAGAAAATCGATTCTCCCGTTCCAGTTAATGAATGTTTTATAACACAAACTAGTTGAAAACAATTTTAGGGTTCATCCAAAATGAAAAAAAAAATCACAAGAAAAATTTGAAATGTTATATAAATAATTTTCACCAAAAAAAAATTTTGAGGCTCTAGAAAAATGTTGGGTATGTAGTTTTATAGATCATTAAATTTTAGCATAATAAAGTGTAATTTTCAGGTGGCTAAGAGGTCGCGTTAATTTTTAATATTTTTTTTCGCTAACATTTCGAGCACATCTGCATGCTAAATGGGAACTAAAAGCGTTTGTTATATTATTAATGATGTATAAAACTGCATACCCAAAATTTTTATAAAAACAAAAAAAAATATTTTGGTGAAGATTTTTTTATAGCATTTCAAATATTTTATTTCTTTATTTTTTTATTTTTAGTTTTGAGAGAACCCTACAATTGTTTTCAACTATAGTTTATTATGTAACATTTATTAACTGGAACAGGAGAATAAATTTTTTTCAGAACTGCTACTTTTTCTGCACTTTGCACTAAAAAATTTAACGCAAACAAACAAAAACTCAAAAATCGTTCTCAACTGGTCTCATGCAAATTTTATTAGCTTTCATTTAAAAGGAAAGTAATCAAATTGAAGTAAAAATGAAGGCTCCAGTGAATTGTGAAGATAAAATGCCAATTTTGAACCACTGTGCACTCTAACTACACAGAGATCCTTGTTATGAGGTATAAAGTCGAAGCCTCTTCAGTCGAGTGGTTCTTTCCATCAAGTAAATTGGCTACATTTCTATACCTGTACCAGAATTTATATGTACTTAAGTTCGAATTCGCCTCCAATGCTTCTATAAATAAACCTAGCATTCACATGTAGGGCTGCAATACATTACTCAGTTAATCTTTAGCTCTAGTCTTGGAAACTTAACTAAATTGATAATCAGAAAAATATGTATTTTCCTTGAACGTCGATCATTTGACTTAGTCATCCAAAATTGCATTTGTTATAGTCAGATCAATCATAGTACTTGCCTAATACCCTAAAATGTCTTAATTTTGATTTCATTTATACTTGGATATAATTTCTTTCCAAAAAATTAG